CCTTCGCAGAAGCAGTGGAAGACTCTAATAAGGGTATTAAAGTTAACGGCATATTTATTAATCAAGTATGCCGATGATACAGCCATAGTGGCAGATAACATCGAAGATCTTCAATGCCTTTTAAATGATCTAACTCTTGCAAGTGAAGCTCGAGGTTTGAAAATAAATATCAAGAAGACAAAATCAATGATTATAAGTAGAAATGATTACCCCAACGCAAAGATATATGTCTCTGGAGAAGAAATCGAACAAGTCAGGCAATTCAAATACTTGGGATGTTTGCTGAATGAGAGTTGTGACCCCGAGAATAAAATAAAGAGCAGAGTTGAACAAGCCAGAAATGCTTTTTTGAGGCTTCGTAAGTTTCTGACTGATCGCAAATTGGACTTCAACCTCCGATACAAAATGCTTAAGTGTTACGTGTGGCCTGTTCTCCTGTACGGAATGGAAGCATGGACGTTAAAGGCCAGTTCCATTAACAAACTTGAAGTGTTTGAAATGTGGTGCCTGCGTCGAATGCTCAGAATATCATGGACGGACAGGGTCAGAAATGAGGAACTACTCAGAAGAGCGGGCTTACAGGATAGGGAACTTTTTAATTATGTAAAAAGTAAGAAGACTGCATACTTGGGGCATATTATACGAGGAGAACGATACACTTTTCAGCAACTGATACTCGAAGGGAAGATAGAGGGTAGGAGAGGTCTCGGACGTAAAAAAATGTCATGGCTGCGCAATATTCGACAATGGACAGGAATCCACAGCTATGAAATGCTTCGCAATGCTGCTAAAAACAGAATTATTTAATCCAGAATATTTAACATCTCACCTGACAAGACGATGTACGGTGGACGCCTACGCATAAATGCACGGCACCTTAAGAAGAAGAAAATAATAATTATTTTTATTCCCTTTACCTTCTTTGTGCATTTTCTTTCTAAGTGTGTATACACTTGTATATTTGAGTTTTTTGATCTATTATATTAGATTAATTATTGGTATAGAGTACCTTTAATTTTAATTAACTTCAGTGCTTGATACAAGTAAAGTATTATAGTCAATCTTTCCTTATCTCTTTTCTTTTCTAAGGTTTCGTAATTTTCCCCTTAAACCCCAATAACTTAAGTGGCGCCCTGTTTCTATCTTATCGTATCTTTGGTAATTTTACCCATCTATCTTTTTGTTTATTTCTGTATCTTTTCTAATATCTCTTATCCTATCTTTACTTATTTCATACGTTGGACCCATTCCCGGATCCAAAAGCTAGTTTCGAACCCACGACTCGCTCTCCACCAACCATCTGGCTGCCGTCCGCAGTGTCTCCATTGATGACCTTTCTAGCACCATCCAAAAAAGGTTTTCGAGGTTACAAAATCATTGTGAGTTTTGCATTGAAAGTATAACCTGTTATTCGTTTTAAAATATTTTTTCTGTTAGCGATGCTTCGTTTTATAACCAGTTGTTTAAAATTTTGCTGATTGGAAGTTGCAGTATAATAAGCACCACGGTTTTTCAGATTGAAAGATTGAAAGTGAATGTCGTAAAGTTTTTTTTCATTAGAAGATATTTTTGCCATCTTCATATCACAAGTCTAATTTTTTTATGCCTGTTCAAGGTTTTATTTGTTCCAATGGAGAAAAAAAACATCAATTTCGTAGGAAACGAAGATTGCAATTTTAGATCGCTTAGGAAAAGAATAATGAAGTTGCTTTAAGAAAATAATATCATTTCTGGTACAAAATTAAGTACTCAATTTTCATCTTAAGCAACAAAGTACAAAAAGAGCCATCGCGATTTGGATTGAGTCCTGTAAGTGGTTATTTAATCCAGTAAAAAGCTATTCAGTTCTATGAGGTAATGAAACAGTCAGAGCCAACAACTTCCACTTCCCAAACTGGTAAAAAATTTTCAGAATGGCTAATCAGATGGCACAAGAGCTAGCGAAAATTATTGGATGGCACAGGAGCTAAAATGAAGATGGGACTACTCAAGTATTTAACGCTGATGAATCGGGACTGTATTGGAAAAAAATGCCTAACCATACTTACATCGCAAAGGATTAAAAAACTGCAGGTGGACTTCTTACTTTGTAGCAATACATCAGGAGATAGGATGTTGAAACCGCTCTTAATAAATAAATTTCTTCTTTATAAGCAAAACAAGAAAAAGCAGTGGATGTTAGAAAATTGATAGAAAAGCATTATGATTTAAACTAGAAGAGTATTGAAGAATTAAGCTATTTTAAACACGTTTTAGAACGAGACAGCTTAGGAAAAAATCCACCTACAGACGAAGTTTATAAATAATTAGTTTACTTTCAACAACAATACTAGTAAAATAAACAGGTTCCTCTGTTTTCCTGTTTATCGACACGATATGAATAAATATAAAAAGTCACCAAAACGAATAGAAATATGGACCAGTTTTTTTTAAGTTTTGTATAAATTTTTGTCAGATATTCGAAGTAATGTATCATGCAGCCTATTTCTTTTAATTTCAGGAAACTTTTTTTGGTTTTGTCTTTATTTTATGTAACTGTAGAATTCTATGGGAACGTATCCCTACTTTTTCAAGACAAGTAAGTCTTTTTTATGAAATTTTTTATATGCGTTTTTCTGTGGAACACCGCAACAAATAACAATGAAAGACACAGTTTAAGATAAAAAATATTAAATAAAATAAAAGTTAAATATGTATTTGATTCAAGAAATATAAAAAAATATCACTTCTAAAATCATTATTTAATCGTCATCGATAACAATTTCTGATATACGCCAAACTGTTAATCCATATTTAAATAATATTTTTGGTATAATTGTGGTTAGGCATAGTACCAGCACGCCATTGAAATTTCAACAATACTTGAATAATGCGAATGACCACGTGCAAGTAGCAGATATGCAAGTACACCGAAATCCCACTCATATATTTCATAGTAAATAATGGCCTTAGAATACACGAGTAGGCTTTAGAATGATTAGCATTTCCGCAGAGATTCATTGTCACTGCATGCCCTAGATTCACCACAAAAATATCTTGCTTCTTTGGAAATGATTTTATGCACATCCGAGAACTTTATGGTTATAATTAACTTTTTATCATATTCCTTGGCACTGTTTCACGATTTTGAGAAACGGTCGTTTCAAACAGAAATTCTTAATTCGCGGAAGTCTAATTCGTTTTAGACGACATAGTCTTTGTTTGGATATGTACGTGGCTGTAACAGGAACGTTTTGATGTTTATTTCAGGAATTTTGGTATTTATGCAAAGGAAATGTATATAGGAATTACTTGTGTTTCCCAAGAATTGCTAGATAATTTCCTTTACGCGGATAATACCTTCGTTATAATAGAAATATTAACCCGGTCTATATGGATATTTGAAATAACAAAAATTGCCGGAAAGCCAAATTTTGGTGGTGGAGAGCTATTACGATTTTTGGATAAAAGAAGCGAAATAAAATTTGTTTTTTGAAAACTGTGTGAGAGTTATAAGAAATAGTCGATTTAAAATCGGATTCAGGAACCGGCATCATATGTTGAGAAGTAACAAAATCTTCCATGAATGCAACATATGTCTCTTTGAGATTCGGGAGCCTCCTGAAGCGATTCTCTAGCATACAAAACGAAGATATGCATAGGAATAACGAAAAAGTAGCGAATATAAACAAGAGAAAAAGATAAATAAAGAGGAGTAAAGTAAAAATACATACTTTCCCAAACACGGTCAAAGGTCAAAAGTTGAAATTTTTTGTATTTCTATCGAAAACGGTAAGTTTTATCAAAAAAAAACCTTAAACCGAAGTTGTAGATCTTAAAATTCTCTACAAAAATAGTCCTTACTAAGAGTTGCCATTCTTGGGATATCGCGATTCTAAAAGTCACATTATACTTACAGACACAGACGTAGAGAGTGTAGTCAGAATCCAAAACGACTTTTCAAGATCATTCCATTATAAAAAGGGACTGAGACAGGGAGATGGATTGTCGTGTCTCTTATTTAACCTTGCACCAGAAAAAGTAATTCAAGAGTGCCGTATTAATACGACGGCACCATCTTAATTAATAAATCTGTATAAGTAATGGGATTAAAAATAAACGCACAGAAAACCAAGTATATGTATTGTACTAGATCAGGCAACCAGATATACCTAGACTATTAATAATTGATGATCTGGAACTGGAAGATGTGGACATCTTCATCTACCTGTGCTCGCTGCTGACCAAAGACAACAATGCTAGCGAAGAAATTAAAAGAAGAATAGAGCTTGCCAATAAGTGCTATTATGACTTGAGGAAACAGATGGCCCCAAAACTAACCAGAAAAATTAAAATTACCATATATACAACACTAATAAGGCCAGTGTTAAGATACGGGTCAGAAACGTGGTCACTTACACAGAACGACCAAGAACTGCTTAGACGTTTCGAGAGACAAATTCTAAGGAAAATATATGGAGGAGTCCAAGAACGGGGTTTGTGGCGTAGGCGCTACAACTTTGAATTATACAGAAGTTTTGCGGAACCTGACGTTGTAAAATTTATTAAATTAGCACGCCTTCGATGGATAGGACATGTAATTAGGCGTGATGAAGATGCAATGATCAGAAAAATTTTCGACCGAAGAGGACCAGTGGGAAGACGATCCAGAGGAAGACCAAAACTTAGGTATCGAGATAACATAGAGGATGATCTAAAATCCATCTTAGTTAAAGCATGGAGAAGAATTGTCAGAGACAGGGGCGAATGGAAGATTGTTCTGAAGAAGGCTTTGGCTCATGACGAGCTGTAATGCCACTGATGATGAAGAGTCAGATTATACATGATAATATACACTGTTTCCACACCACCTGTGAGGTAGTGTACTTGTCGCGTTTTTTTACTGTGGTTTCCCCTGTAGGCCTACTATTTATGAAAATACGCTAAAATACCGTATTACCTATTATCTAGACTATTATTCTCACTATTTATCATAAACTCATTATATCACTTTGTTACAGATAGAGCACCGGATGATCCACAAATCACATACCTTTCTGAAGATACTGTGTTATCTGTAGGAGAAAATCTAAGACTATTCTGTGAAGCTTTCGTTGGTAAGTTTGTTTAAAAAATATCAAAATAATATAAACATAGTTTCTTTGCTTATGTACTGATATGTAAAGAAAACCAATGTACCGATATGTCTGAAAAGGAGGGTTTTTGAACAATGTGCGCTCCCAATATTGACTTCTGGTGCAGAAACACTTACTAATCAAAGTATGCAAAAAGTCATAGTCACTCAACGAACCATAGAGCTTTCGATTTGGGATTGAAACTAAGATAGTGGGGTTGCGGATGCTGTGAAATGGATAGCACATATGAAGTGGACCGTACCAGACATTAGAGAATTAATGACACTATGATAATTAGTTTGATATTCTACTAAGCATCTATATTAATGCAAATAAAATGGTTCGCTTATGTGATGGGTTTTATATTCCAGCTGAACTTTCGTAGTGACCTAGTGGCAGAGTCGTCCTACTATTGTTTCCATATTTTTTCCTTTTTTATTTAATACTTTGCTGTGCTCACTATTTCAGCGTTGAAATAAAGTGAAGACAATCTTTACAATAGTTATGTCATGTTGATGGATATAAAATTTCGTTATGTATTAAACTTTTCTAAATAGATAACATTTTAATTATACATTTTTTCTTTTATCGCAGGTCTGGTAGACCTTCCAGACGCACATAGCGAAGTATATTGGAACAAATTGTACCCAAACAGCACTACATATGATGAGTTGCCATCGCACATTAGACATGCACAAACAGAACAGTAAGTTGAGATGAATATTATATATTTTCTATATAAAATATGACGTTAATTAGTGGTTACATCATTTATTATTTTTAAATGTGCTATTGAAATTTTCCAAATTAAGTTTAACAATATTCAGTAGTGGCTTAGTAGCATGATTATAAACCAGAGGAGCCAGGTAGTCCTCCAAGGAGAAGCTATTGATTACAGAAGTTCGGTGTTCTACTTGGGAGTTCATTTTAGTAGGTCTCTCAGCTGTGATATTGACATCAAAAACCAAAGAAAAAAGCTAGACTCCTGGGAGCGCTGTCTGGAAAACTCGGAAATACCTCCATTAAAACTCTATTCCACACCTACAAGACTTTGTTTAGGCCTATCATCGCATACAAGGCGTGTGTCTACGCGTCACTAAATCCTCGTCAAACCAACGCCATTATAGCAACTGAGACGAAAATTCTCAGAAAATGCATGAAGAAACGTGCAGAGTATCCGTCAGCACTAATTCACCAAATTGCGAACATAATAATATCAATAAAGGACAGAGTTCGATTTCTCAGCAATAGATAGTTCCCCGCACAATAGCTGGCACCAACAACAGAGCTAAGCTAACTTTAAGGACTCCCTGTCATCGTCGAGGGCACATACTCAATAAGGTCCCCTAACAATTTAGCAAAAGTTCCATTCCCTCCAGCCAAGCTTCTATACTTTGCTTGCAACGAACTTCCTAATGAGGTACTACGATATCCTCGGAGCAACTCCCCTGAAATATCGCAGATAAATTAACTGCACGCCAAAAACGCTAGCTTCAGATCCGTTCATAGTATAAATGGCAACATGGGAGGTACCTTCTGCTCATGGCTTGGTTGGCTAATCTAAATTCTTCCTCTTAGTGCTCCTTTTCTATATCACTACGATTTAAACCCCCGCTCTATAGCTGCATACCACTCCAAAATAATGAAGTCGCAACTAGCGTTGCTCGCTCCCCTCAGAAGCTCTCCAAACAAAGAGATTAGCCCCTCCTTGAAGAAGCACAAACTTAAACAAGGTTCTAACCTTTAGATTTGATTTGTATACAAAACTTGATGTAGACCATTTGCCATCATTTATTAAGTTCAGTTTAAGTTCACGAAACACCCAAAAAGTGATGAGACTAATGTCATATTTATCACATATAATGCCAAATTATACGGACATATGAAATTCCAAAATGTTCAACTTTTAGTTTTGCTGAATTGCCTTGTATAATAATTAAACATATTTATCAAATAAATACTTTTTAATTTGTCATTTTTGTGCTGAAAGGAAGTTATTAAGTGGTCTATAAATCAATATTTGCTTTAATATATTCCTTCTTGTATTATTGGCTACATTTTCGGGAAAGAAACATGTTTAATAACAAAGAATAATTTACAATCAGGAGAGATCAACAAGCATGGGTGTTCACTTTCGAGAAACTGGTTCTTACTCAAAAAGACCTGAACAGGAAAGACCAAGAGCAACGTGAAAGATCGGTTCCTTAGACTTTAAGTCCTTCGAGAATAACAGCTTTACTAAAGACTGGCAGATGTTTATGGTACCATAGTTTCACCTGAAGATTAGGCGAACAAATTTATTATCTTATGTACCTGCTATGGGGTCCTTTATTGGATCTTGTTGCCTGATCTAATACAATACAGTTTTGTCAATGGTGGATTATTAAGTTTTGCCTCAAAATCAACCAAAGATTACCACGAGGAAATGACTGCTGACGTTTTTGAAGAATATTTTGAGCAAATGTTGGATTTAATTCCAAAAAATTCTGTTATAGTCATGGATAATGCTAGTTACCATTCAAGACTAGCAGAAAAATTGCCAACAACGGTATGGAAAAAAGGAGAGATAATCGAGTGGTTGGATAAACACGCAATTGAGTACAAGGAGAATTCGACAAAAAAGGAATTATTACCTATTGTAAGGCAACATAAAGCAGCTTATAAAAAACTATATAATTGATGAAATGCATAACCGTGATGTAATTATTTTACGTTTACCCCCATACCACTGTGATTTGAATTCGATAGAAAATATATGGTCTCAAGTAAAAGGTGAAGTGGGACGCAACAACAAAACTTTTAAATTAGAAGACTTACAACAATTATTAGAACAATTGATGGATTCGACCGTTACTTGATGGAAATTCATTTTATGTAACAATAAAACACTGAAAACTTTGTTTTCAAACTTCCACAAAATTTATTTTAAATATTATCACTACAGCTGTTTCGGCTGATTGCCTTTCTCAAGTGATCTATTTTGGCTTGGGTTTACAAATTTATAGTCTCTAATGAAATAGGTTATATATATATATATATATATATATATATATATATATATATATATATATATATATATATATATAGTATACTATAATAGGTATAGTCTCTAATGAATAGGTCACGTATTTCATTAGAGACTATAAATTTGTAAACCCAAGCCAAAATAGATCACTGGAGAAAGGCAATCAGCCGAAACAGCTTGTAGTTATAATAAGTTTGAAAACAAAGTTTTCAGTGTTTTATTGTTACAATTATTAGAACATTCCTTATCAAAAGTAACTCCAGAAAATTGGAAAAATGCTGTTAGTCATGCTCACAAGGAAGAAAATAAAATGTGGAATTTGGATAATATAACTGATGCAATGCTGGAACCGGTAATAATTAACATTGGAGTTGAAGATTCCTTAGATTCTGAAGAAAGCAGTGAATCTGAAATGGAATTTGATCAAAATAATATTCATTTTTTTACAAATCGGCCCCTGTTACGGCCACAAATTATTTTATATATAACCAATAAAATAAACATCTTACATTTCTTGCAAATTCATTAGTACCTGTTAATCTCCATCACTCCGACACTGGCAACTTTATTTAGGGATTAGTAACCCTCAAAACTATTGTATTCTATTCTGCTTCAACCTTTATACCTGGTGGTCATACTCAATTTAAAATTGTTTTCCTATATACTTCTGTAAACTTGTTGACAAATATCTATTTTTCATTGAGTCACCCGTATCAACAGTTTAGGGATTTGCATACATAATGTGCTATCAATATGATGGAAATGGACTATAATTATGGAACCATCTCGATCTTTACATTCTGTTTTTCTGGGTTTGGATTCTTTTCTGCAGCTGTTTATCTTCTGGTAGAATTTTCGCGTGTCTTTTCTGTTGTGGTGGTTAACAATCTCGTTTACTGCAATAATTGTTATTAAAATCGCATGTTTTTGACTTTTGTACTTCCATTCCGGGAATTGTTTTTAAAAAAGCTTATTTACAAAAAAGATAATTGGCGGAATTGGGTCCAGATAGAAAAATTAAATATTTACGTTTTATATTTTTTTGTATTCAATAAATTTCTTCGAAATTGATTTCCGGACTGGAAGTTGAAACGTTGCAAACATGTAATTTTAATTTTAACTGCGTTTTAAATTAAACTCGTGCAACATTTATTATTTCCGAGAGAATAAATTCAGTGTAAAACATACCACAAGAAGACTAAAGTTTCGCTTTATTGAGCTTCGCATTGGGGAAATCATTTTATTTCGAATTAAACTCAGTTTTGAATTCAAGTCAGTGCAATATTTACTGTTTCCGAGAGAATTAATGGGTAAAATATTTATACTCTCCTATGTATATATAAATTAAGCGATGTAAATTATATCTATATTAAACCTGTAACCAGAAATATCTAAAATAACAGGAAAATATGAAAATAATTACTATTTTAATTGGAACAAACCTCAATTGAAGTTAAAAATAAGTTTATTGGCCTTTCAATATCCACTTCAAAAATTGTTCTCAAAATACAATTCATTAATAAATTAAACAAATTTTGTTTTTTTTTGTTCATCATCATCAACTAGCCTCTAACGTCCACTGCTGAACATAGGCCTCTCGCATGCTCTTCCACTTAGTCCGATTTTGCACCATCTGAATCCAATTTGTAGTCACTCTTTTTATGTCCATCTCGTTGGGGGTCGACCTCTATTTCTGTTAGCTTGTATTCCGGATCTCCATTCCAAAATTCTTTTTGTCCACCGGTCATCAACTGAACTTGCTACATGACCTGGCCAGTTCCACTTTAGTGTTGTTATCCTTTCAATAACGTCTGCTACTCCTGATCTTTTGCGTATGGTAGCATTGGGTATTCTATCACGTAGAGAAATCCCTAACATTATTCTCTCCATTTCCCTTTCCGCAACTTGTAGTTTACTCACTGTTGTTCTTGTGAGTGTTAGGGTTTCTGCGCCGTAGGTCATCACTGGCAAAACACACTGATTAAATACTTTTCTTTTCAGACACATTGGAACCTTAGACCTAGAAATATCTCTCATCTTTCCAAATGCAGCCCAAGCGAGGTTTATTCTTCTTTTCAGCTCGATTGTTTGGTTGTCTCGACTTATTCTGATCTCATGGCCCAAGTATTTATAGGAGTCAACTGGCTAAATATCTTTGTCTTCTACTGAGATGTTTTTGTTGTGGACTAAATTTGTCATACATTGTGTTTTTAAAAAAATTATTTTAAGACCCACTCATTTTGTGGCAGTATGGAGTTCTTGGAGCATTATCTGTGCCTGATCAAATCTGTCTGCAATAAGAACGATATCATCTGCAAATTTAAGGTTATTTAAAAATTTTTCATTTACATTGATGCCCTTTCGTTCCAATCTATTGTTTTACAAGCGTATTCTAGCAAAGTTGTAAATCATTTTTGTTACTTGGTGAAAAATTCTTGTAATAATTTAATTTTATCTGACTTATTTATATTGGCAATTTAGACATACAATATACATTTTAAATAAGACGACTTTAAAATGATGAGACCAATATTGCTCAGTTACGTTCCTAGGACGACTTTGTAAGATTCATACTGTATGTAAAATCCCTTTTTCGTTCAAATGATTCAAGCCGATAGTACGTTTGAAAACTCTTGAGTCGAGCATCGTTGGTTAATTTGTCATTGCATTTTCTCTTATAT